GCCCCCCCCCCCCCCCCCCCCCCCGCACTCGAACTGAGAGTCTCTTTCTATGTAGGATTGATGCGACTTTGCAGAACGGGGATCCGCGAAGCCGGACCGGAAGTTTGCTCGATGGTTCTTATACTCGCTGCCGCCCCCCTCCATTGAATACCACATGAACATGGGCGAGTACTCGTTGTGTTGAGAAAATTCGAAATTCTCAGTGGGCTTCTGATCCGCGTGCTTCCTTGCGTAAATGCGCAGTCCTTTTTGATACTGGATATGGTGAACGGGACAAGAGAAACGGCAGGAACAGCACTTCCCCTTACACTCGCCCTCACACGCGTGTTGGTGGAACCCCACGGCGAGGTCTACCCTCTTGGATTCGGCAATGCCCGAGGGCTGTCCGGTCGTCAAAGGTGGGTATGAAATGTCGGTTTGTTGACGGCGTGCAAAAAAGAGCGTTCAGATCAGTATGCAAGCGTTCTTCTTCTGACGTAGCAATCACATCTGAAACTTCTGAAAGGCTTCTCAAGGGATCCGTCTTTGTAACCCTCACCTTCCGAGTACCTTTAATGCTGGTTCAAACACAAAACTCCAATTAGGCCTACCCCTTCGCGACCTGTACACAGATTTATCAGCAGTAGTTGCGCTTGCCTTGCTCTGCTGCTCGCTTGCACCCCAGACCTAAGCTCCCTCAGCTTTATGCAATAACCTCCCAGAGCTTCGCCGTGGTGTAACCCAAACCGCATTGCTCACGTTGCAATCCAAATTGCACCCAGGCGTTGCTTCGGTCATTGGCTACCACTTCCTTCCACTTCCATACCCCATCGCCTTCTTGCTTCCTCCTCCCTAACTTTCCATTACTATAACAAAAATATATATATACAATACTGTAACACACACCATCAAGACACGATGGCCGAGTGGTTAAGGCGATTGACTAGAAAATTAGCAGAAAATTGAAATCAATTGGGATCTTCCCGCGCAGGTTCGAATCCTGCTCGTGTCGCTGCCAACTTCTGTTGAACTTCTTTTTTGGAGATTGTTTAATATCTGTTCCCTTGCCGGTGTTCACGAACACTGGCCAAGTGCGCAACGTCACCGGAAGCCATCCGACTTGTACTTAACAAGCTATTGGCCACTAGGGCTCGACCTATGGACGCCGTCGACTCTATTTGATAAGTCTGGTTCAAGCTGCTGCATCCCATATGCTCAAACATTCCATTTGCACTGCCGCTGAATCCAGCAGACGCTATCCCTTAGCCGTAAGCCTTTTCCAAGTCATCAACTACAGCACATTGTGATAATCGAGAAATTCAAAACCCAGTCACTATTTTCTAAAGCACATTCAACTACCAAATCCTACTCCTTCTCAACACCATCCACCATCCCTTTAATCAGTGCCGTGTAAATGGCTTCATACCCGGCTTCCACTTGACTCTTCACCAACCCAATCAACATCCGATTTGCATCTATATGCACAGTCTGCACAATCTCATAACTCCCCTCAGAAATCTCCCGGATCTCCCACTTTGTTTCCATCACAACGCTCAAGGGGCTTTTAACCCGAACCCACAGGCCGGTGGCGGTATCGACCAACTCTTCCGTGCTGACTATACTGGAGGAATAAACGGGGTTGGGCACATTGTCTGTGACTTCGTAGAGGTGGACCGGGGCTGTGATATCAACTGGGATGATGTGGGCAGGTATGGAATGTGCTGTTCGCCAATCCAATGTTGAGGGTGCAGGAAGCTGCTTATAGGAAACTAAATGGGGATCCGCATGGATGAAGACATCATGATTGTGGAGGACTGATATGCAGGTTTCCTTTGTTGGTCCGGGCGGGATGGGAGCGGCGTGCGTCAGGTCGACGGTGGTGGTAAACACTGTGGATTATTAAGGTTAGCTGGTAGTGACGGTTGTTGGCCTTGGACGCTCAAAACTCGGATATGAAGTGCGCAATTTTCAACAACGAGGATTGTAGCCGCTTTGGGCAATTGATGGTGGCATCATACAAAGACAAGACTTACAAGGCATAGCGCTCAGACTCGTCAGGAGCAGATGAGAAACAGCCGAAGCGAAATGCGACGTGATGTAGGGAGAATAGTACAAACTCAGCACCTATCTGCCCACTACGAGTTTCACTGGTCGCGTGTCTGAATCGTGCAGGACAAACTTGCCAAACTTTGTCTACGTTTATACGGAACTTCAAAGTGTGGGGAATCGAAACCCTGTGATAGGTAATATGCAGGCAACCTTCTTTACGTCAACAAACGCGGAGCTTCCACGTGGTTTCGCCAAATGGAACCTGAGACTTGTTGACATTTTCCCAAACTAGTGGACCCACTGCGACTGTGAAGTGCACGATGTTCCACCATATATCTATCCAACTGAGGCGCTGCAACCGTTTGCGAGAAAGAGATGTGGTAGATGAACTTGAGCTTGTACATGTAACATGAAAGCGATGTCCCAGTGTTCCTGGGTGCTCCTGGGAGCCCGGTTTATCACTGTGCCTTTGTGGCGCAAACCATCGGACGGTTTTGCCACCAGTAACGTCCAATGAACCATGAAAATTGACGACCCTTCCATGGCAGTCCGATGTAGCCGAAATCCGATAGCTACCTTCCTTGCGGATTGAGGTGAACATTGGTAATTGCGGCTTCACGGTGGCATTCGATTGATTTTTGATGGACAAACCAATCGTGCTCTCATCACACTCATCACTCCACGTCCACCATCCTCATCCCCCATTCCATCCACAAACAACAATTACAATCAAATCGCAAGACATATTTACAAAGCAAAAAAATCGCACAAACACAACTATCTACCTACAACCTACCCAACCACCTACCCAACCTCCGACCTGACCTCCAACCTACTCCTCAAATTTCCCCTCCAACTGCAACGTCAAACACTTACTACTCCCCTCATCCTGATCCCGATAGATGCCCACAAGCGCCTCGGCCCTCTCATAAAACGTATTCTTCAAACTGATCACAATGAACTGGAACGATTCGCTCGCGTTCCTCCGGATATACTCTGCCACCTTTGCCACATTCGTGTTGTCCAATGCCGCGTCAACTTCGTCCAGGACGAAGAAGGGCGCCGGTTGGTAAGAGTGGATGGCGAAGAGAAGGGCGAGGGCTGCGACGGTTTTCTCGCCTCCGGAAAGCTGCTCCATTTCCCGGAAGCGTTTGCCGGGTGGCATGGCGTGGAATTTGACGCCGGAGTTGTAGGGTTCCTATTGACAATCGGAAAGTGTCAGCTTCAACTAAGGCTAGCCTTGGTGGATGCGGCCTCCGTACCTCACTGTCTTCCAAGTTCAAGTACGCCTGGCCACCAGTGGGGAACACTTTCGACTTCGTCAGGTCCTTGTAGATGGAACTGATCTTCTCTGCGATATGTGTGTATGCATCATAGAACGTATCGTAACTGATCAAACGATTAGTCAACCTTGGGTCCGGAATGTCAAGTGAGATGACCAAATTCTTACCGCCTCTGCTTGACGGAGTTGAATGCATCCTTTGCCGACTTGGCCTCTTTCCGGGCATTGTCAAACTCTTCCGCAGTTGCACGCAGCTTGGTTTCGACTTCGCCCAATCTATGCAATCATCGTCAATTATCGGAAAAGGAATAAGAACCCACATATGATGATGCATACTTGTCCACAGCCCTCATGTTCGGCGCCATCTTCTCAATGTCGCTCGTCATGCTCTTGATCTTATCTTGGAACCTGGCATCCATCTCGGTGGACCCGTCCTGCATTATAAGATGTCAATATGTACACCACATAAGATCGGATATCCATCACGCACCTGCTGCTCATCCTTCTTCAATTCAGAGAAATCAACCGCTATGCCCTTCAATCTTTCCCTCGATTGACTCTGCGATTGACTGGTCTCATTGTCTACGTCCTCCGTATCAGCACCCAAAGCTTCCTCAATCTCCTCAAGAGTAATGTCTGCAATCACGCCGTCCTCAAGCGGAAGGTCAATCTCTTCCAAGCGGCATCTCCTGAAAATGGAGAACCGTTCCGCACAGTGTTTCTCAATCTCGCTTTCCTACGAGGGAACAAAGAGCGGATTTAGAAATTCATGCATCAAATCGGACCACCACGGCGCAATCACTCGTGCCCATACCTTTGCGCTGATAGCTTTGTTTCTGCCCTCAATCTCCTTGTTCAACTTCGAGACCTCCTTCTTCGCCTTCGTCACATCCTCATTCTTCTGTTCCAACTCCTCCTTGAGTGCATCGATATCCTCTTGAATCTTCTCAATTTCGCTCTGCAACTCCGCACTGGATTCTTCGAACGCTTTCCTCTCCTTTTCAAGCTCTTTCACGGCCTTTCTGTCAGTTTTGATGGCGGCCTCGAGTTTGGCGATGCGCTCAGCCGTTTCTGACGCTCGTTGCTGCTCGAATTGAATTCTGATGGATCGCTATTTAGCACAACGCACATATGCACATATGCATTGAGTCATAAAGATACCCACTGCTGGTCTACTCTAGCGATCTGTGTGGTGTATTCCATACGACGGTTTGCAACCTCCTGCGTAACCTTCATGTGCCGGTCCTCATATTCGCGAATGTTCGCCACACCGATCCTGCGGCAAAAGGCAGCGAACACGCCGTTCTCAACCTCCTTTATCTTAGCATCGGCCGCATCCATCCTTCGCTGAGCGTCCGTCAATGCAGTCTCCAGCTGCAATTTAAACGCACTCATCAACAATATGTTTATACACGCATACGACGTAAAACGACTCACCTGACGAATCTCAGAAGTCAGCCTCTCGATCTCCTCTCCCAAATGCTGAAGCTCCTTCTCTCTTCCTTCCAATTTTCGATTGGTTGTAGTCTGCACATCGTCATCAGTCATCGTTCACTTCGATGAACAAAGCTAACATACCAGATCGTCACGCTTGTTCCTGAGAGCTGCTTCCAGCTTGTTGATTTTGTCTCTGATCAGATCGTCGTGAGGAAGTGCCCTCTTCTGCCTGGACAGCTCGGACACCTGCGTGACGAGCAGATCCCGAGTCTTCCTCATCGCTGCATATCAAGATTTTAGTACGTGGTTTCAAGAACAGCGCCTTGCATACATACAGTCGATCTCCTTTTCCTCCCACCGTCGAGCACCCTTCGGTCCGTCGCCATATGTACCACCAGTGATCATACCCGTCTTGTGGATAATAGTTCCATCCAAGCTGACAGCTGCAAAACGGATCAACGTCTCTTTCAACCTTCATCACACATACTAAAGTTACCTTTCACTTCCTGCCTCTTCTCGTAGACAATATGTCGTGCAATCTCATTGGTATCGCACACAAGGGCATTGTTGCAGGCGTACTCCAATGCGCGCTGGTACTGATCGTCGTATTGGATGACATCAATAGCAAGACGTGCTCCTTTCACATAGTTGCGGAATTTCTCAGCGATGGGTTTCACCACAAGGTTATCAAGTGGAAGGAACGTAGCATGCCCCGAGCGTTGTTCGCGCATGTACTACATACACAAGTCAATGCAAATATTGGGGCGTCAACATCGCTATTGTTCCCACCTGGATGCAGTCGATAGCCGTCCTTTCCGTATCGACGACCACAGAGTCCATGTTCTTGCCGAGAATGGTTGATACGGCCAGATTGTACTTCTGCTGGGTTGGCTTGATGAGGTCGAACATGCGCCCGTGCACTCCTGTGACATGATTATGTCAATATCAGCACGCCCCAGACAAGTATTTCTCACGGATACCATACCAGGGTAGATGCGCCTGAGAGTATCTAGAGTCTCCTTGAACCTTGTCTCTCGCTCACTCTCACTCCTATCTACTCTCGCCATTGTCAACTTATTTTGAATATCCATGAGCCTTTCATTCATTTCATTTTCCGTTTGCCTAGGAAAGGACAAATAAGAAGAGATATCAATTCGATCATGTTCACCACGCTACATACTGCAGTCTCCTGTGCTCCGCCTCGGACGTCTGCAGCTCTTGCCGGGCCTTGTTGAGCTCTTCAG